AGGTAAATTACTACTTAATTGTTTTCGATATGTAAAATTCAATACTTATTTTTGTTTATTACAAAAACTTATAGGGATTAGCTTTGGCTACTAAAAGCGCTAGCATATCTAAAGACATGCCACGATTGGTTATAGTCGTAATGAAAGATAAATCCTCTTTATATAGTAACGTCAAACGTTATGAAGAGAGTACAGGTGTGGTTACTCAAGTCATATTGTCCAAACATTTCAAAAAGCCAAACGAGCAATTATTTGTAAATATTGGCTTAAAAATCAATAAAAAACTTGGAGGCAACAATTGTTCACTCTCAGATAGACAGCAGATAAGTTTTATATCTTCTGCACCGGTACGAATATTATTTAAGTTATGGACAATTTGATTAATTAAAATTTTTTATATTAAATGATTTTATTTCATCTTAATTATTATATTTAGACAATGGTGTTTGGTGCAGATGTTTACCATTCAGGTAAAAATGAACAAGATGTACCTAGCATTGCTGCAGTTTGCGCTTCCATGGACCAAGATGCTATTGTTTATGGTCACACATATAGTGTTAACAAAAAGCCACGTAATGAAACTATTGAAAATTTAGAGGAAATGGTAGTTGATTTAATTACAGCTTTCAGGAATAGAAATAGGGTTCTTCCCCAGAGAATTTTATTCTATCGTGATGGAGTTAGCGAGGGGCAATTTAAAAAAGTCATAGAAGAAGAGGTGAAAGCAATGAAACAAGCCCTTAAAAGGGTTTGCGGCAATCAAATTCCAAAATTGACATTTGTTATTGTGCAAAAAAGACATAACACTAGGTAATTAACACAGTTATATTTATATCTTTGTTTAGTTGCTGTTCCATACTTTTACCTTTCTTTTATATATATTTTAGGTTTATGCCAACTAATCCAAGAGAAGCTGATCGTCTTGGTAATTGTAAACCAGGAACAGTTGTTGATACAGGGATTGTAGCAAGACATGAATTTGATTTTTGTAAGTTTTTACTTATTAATATTGTGTAGTGAATAAGCTATTAATTATGTGTATGTAATTTTACATAGTCCTACAATCTCATGCCAGCCTTCAAGGTACTGCGCGTTCAGCTCATTATCGTGTGTTGGTAGATGAAAACAAGTTTAATGCCAATTCCATGCAAGAGTTAACTAATAAGTTATGTTATTTGAATGCAAGGTTTGTATTTCATGAATTTACC